AGTTAGGGAAAGGGTTACACAGTTTAAAGAAAACAAAATTAGAAAACAAAACAATGAAATTACCCTGTGTAAGTTTAGCGAAACAAATAAATCATCAAGCGAAAATAATAATACCTTTTTTATAACAATCTCAAACTTAAATTTAAAGTTTAAAAACCTTAGGAATCTTTGGCTGGTGTAGATGAAATACCTAATATAGTATTAAAAAACTTGAGTACGAACATCATATCGCAATATGTTATCTTATTCAATAATGCATTAAACTACTGCTATTTCCCATCTATATGGAAAAAAGGTAAAGTTGTGATGTTAAAGAAACCAGGAAAAGATCCTAAGGATGTAGATAGTTACAGACCTATAAGTCTGCTTCCTAACATAAGTAAAGTGTATGAAGCAATAATTAATGACAAAATAGTAGAATTTGTTGAAGAAAAGCAGCTTATGCCTGAAAACCAGTTTGGATTTAGGTACAAGCATAGTACGGTACATGCTATCACAAAATTGATCTCAGATATTTGTTGGTTCATAAATAAAAAATTTGGTATGGAAGCATAAATGATAGATTTTGAAAAGGCTTTTAACAACAGAGGGATTTGGACAGAGGGATTAGTCTATAAACTAATAACATATGAGTTTCCCGAGCATTTAATAAGTATAATTGTGGATATGATAACTAATCACGAATTTATAAGAGCCAATGATTCAAATCTATGTAGACAGATCTTTAGGATTGAAAATGGACTTCAACAGGGTATTATAAACTCTCCTATTTTATTTTCAATTTACATAATCGAATTACTAGAAAAGTTAGGACGAGTAAAAGGAAATAGCTATTCGCTAGCATTTGCAGATGACATAATAATTTATTCAGACGATAGTACAGTAGAAAAAAAGCAAAGTAAAGTTCAAAAAATGTTTAATCTAACAAGGGATTATAGCAAAGTATGGGCCTTAAAGATTAATTTTAATAAATGCGAAACAATATTGTTTCGCAACACCACAGACAAAGTTAATTCCAATATAAAAAAAAACTGGAAAAATTTCAAAATAAAAGTAAATGACAATAATTTCTTAGAAAATTAAAAAGTAGTTAAATATTTAGGAGTTTACATACACATAAAAAAATTATGGAAGAGCAAATAAGGCATTCATGGCGTCGAGACGTTTGTTTTATAATAAAAATGTTAGCAATAGGATAAAAGTGATATCATATCTTGCACTCATTAGACCAGTGATGACATATGCTAGACCAATTTGGTATAATGTGAGTGCAAGTCTGATGGAAAAACTTAGATTATTCGAGCGAAAATGTATTAGAGTTTGTATAGGTTTGAATTGAAAACCAGAAACAGAACATCAGCACTTCTATTCTAATAAATACATTTATAAGATAGCAACCATCAATAGAATAGATAATTTTTTAATTAAATTAATTAGAAGGCATTTCGACAGGGCACTGAAAACTCATGAAAACGGTCAAATATCAAATATATTCTACCAAAACGATGAGTAGAATATATTTGATTAAAAAAAGTTTAAAATCGGGCTTCATCGCACCCGAACATTTTATATACTTAGATAGTAAAGGTTATGTCCAGGATACCGCGCATGTCCCTTTATTATATCATTATAATAGACGGGCTATATGTAAAAGTATAAATTACGACCCATCCTATTTGAGTGATGGTAATTTGAAGTTCGATATGAGTATACCAATTAGGGATACTTTCATTAATAGAAATTACTGGTGGTTATAACAATAATATTAATTACTGAAATACTGGGTGCAAAGTACTTCAGGTATTTCTTCAATAGTATTAAGTTTAGTTATAACGTAGAATAAGTTAGCCTAGTTTAAATTTAAGTTTTATTTCATAATAACAGAATTGAGTTTAGGTTTTTGATACAATTTTTTCTAAAAATAATAGTAAAAAGTGTATATATTTAAACAATATAAAAAAATTTTTTTTTGTTAGCAATAAGTTAAAAACAAAACTAACAACAAAAAACCGCTGGTTTTTAAGTTTGTTAACCAAATTTAAATTAATAATTTTTTTGAAACTTTTTTGTTATGTAAAAAAACAAGAGAAAGAAAAAAATTGAATAAATAAAGTTTAAAAAAAAAAAAAATCTAATTGGTGTATACTTTTAATTATTTTTGTTAACTTTGCAGTCTTTCTTCGTTGTTCTGCTTGAACCTTGCAGTGTTCTCCTGGTGTATGTGTTAAATTTATCACAAGTAGACAGAGTAGACTGGGATTGCAACTAGTCCAGTATTAATCTTATTTTAAAATTTAATGCTTCCTTTATTATGTGATTTGCTGCTTCGATTACTGATGTTCGCCTCTTCCTTAATTTCATTAATTTGTCTTGGTCTTCCTTGACAGTTTCTATTGTACCCTCTATTATGTTGGACAAACTTGTCATCTAGCGCACCAAATAAAGTTATGATTTAATGTCATGTTTGACAAATGCCTTCGTTCAATAATAAATATGTTAGGTCTGCCAATAATTTAGACATAATTTTATATAGTATACCATATATTCTCATTCTGTTTTCTGTTCTCAACGTGGTCAGACGTAAAAGTCATTCGTAGTTTTACAACTCGAGTCATTATTTTAATTTTATTTAATTTAATAATTTTTTTTTTTTTACTTTGACCCAATTAACTTTATAACCTTGTGTCAATAACAATATTAAAAAATTTTTTTTAAAAATATTATAAAACAATAATTTTATTCACTTTACACTTTCTTTTCTTTCGCAATTAAAGAAGAGAAATAATAATAAATAACAAATATCAAATAAATAAAAACAAAATAATAAAACAAAATAATAAAACAAAATAAAAAAATATACAGTGCACACTGGTAATTTTCGTTTCATAAATTACGAAGAATGGATTCCAAATGTTCTGCAGCTAGTTGCCATGGTATTAAAGGCATGGAAGTAGTGTCATGCAAGGGATTTTGTAGAAATTCCTTCCATGGTACATGCCTAGGAGCTCCACGTGGTTGGTACAGTGCATTTTTGGCGAACCATTTCATCTGCACGGATTGCTGCTCGGTCAACAAATCGTTGGACGAGTATTTCTGCAAACTGGAACATCGGATCGATGCAGTAAATAATAATCTCCAGGGTTCAATAGCCAGGAATGTGGACTGCATAAAAAATAACGCAGTCAGCTTCAACGAGATGGAGAGTAATTTTGAAATGTTGAATAAATCGATGTCGACATTCATGAATGAAATAAAGGTGATTGTGAGAAGTCAAGTCAAAAAGCAGACACCGGATCTCAACTCATCAATCCTTGAGAACAAGATTGACGGGGTTGGGCTAATTCTTGCCGAAAATATGGACAAAATCTTATCGGCTCTGGATACACGTGTCAATCGTATTGACGATACTTCTTATAACTTACTAGCTTCTGCCCAGGATGACATCGCTTTGATCAAGAACAAAATCGACAGTCTCCCAAACCTCGGTGGCATGATAAGGGAACTTAGCTCTCAATTTGACGAGTTGATTAAATTCAATGATGAGAAATTTACCAAAACAATGGACAAGTCCCTACATGCCGAATTGCTTGAGGTATCGAAGGAAGCGACGAAAGTAAACATTGAATCTGACATCAACCCAAGCGAACCATTAAGCGTTGCTCATTCCAAAAATGATCTGGTTGGCCCTAAACCTCCTGCCACCGTTGCCCTGCCTATTTTTAACTGTTGGATCTCCAAATTATCTTTAGATACCACAGAAAATAGCCTGGAGGATTTCTTACGTACCAAATTCAAATGTACAGAGGTAGTTTGTAAGAAAATTACGCCGGCGTTTCTCAAGCAGAAGGCAAAATATCTCACCTTTAAAGCCAGTGTACCAAGGTCTAAACTAAGGAAAATTCTAAATCGTAAGCATTGGCAAGCAGGTACTCTTTTGGAAAAATTTTTTGATAAATCTAACATTAAAGTTAAGAATAAACTGCCTAACCACGACACTAATTCTACTAACAGTAACTTTATTAATAATAATAGAAATAGACTTGACAGTAGAAAAAAGAAAAACAATAGAGACACAAATTTTATCAATAACAATACTAACAAAATTAATACAAAACATAGTACTACTAATTTAAAAAACAACAATAACAGAAATAAAAATAGGAAAAACAATGACAAGATTAATAAAAATAAAGGCAGCAATAAAAGGAATAATAATAATAATAATAATAATAATAATAATAATAATAATAATAATAATAATAATAATAATAATAATAATAATAATAATAATAATAATAATATCAATAATAATAATAATAAAAATAATAACAATAATAATAATAATAATAATAACAATAATAATAATAATAACAATAATAATAATAATAATAATAATAATAATAATAATAATAATAATAATAATAATATTGATAATAATAATAACAATAATAATAATAATAATGATAATAATAATAATAATAATAATAATAATAATAATAATAGTAATAATATTGATAATAATAACAATACCAGTAATAAGAACAATATTAATAACAATTATAGTATTAATATTAATGACAATAATAATAATAATAGCAATAATAATACTAATAGTAATGACAGTAATAATAATGACGGCAATAATAATATTATTAGCAATAATACTGACAATCTTATGAATAATGGTGCCAATAACAATAATATTGGCAAGTATTCAAATTTCATCCAGGGCGAAACATTCAACGGGACCGTAAAAGCTCAAACTTGTAAGAGTGGCGAAACCAATGCGGCGACTATTCAGACTACTCTAATTCCCATCTTGCCTTCACAATCTTTTATAGATCCACTTGTTCCACCAGTTGTTCGTATGACAAAAAAGGCAGTTGAGACTGTACAAAAGATTTCATGAAACTTTAAATATGCAACCTGAAAGTGTCGAGAAGGACCTTCAGACTTATCGGAAACACATGAAGAGTAAATGGGTTGATTACTTACAAAGAATGAGGGAATCAAACGATAGGTTTTTTCTTCCGTCGGGATCCTCTAAATCACCATCAAAATGGTTTAAATAGTGACGGACCCACCCTTAAAGCCTCCCATAGTAGTCTTGTGACTATTCGTCCCATCAAATCATCTGTTTTCCCTAACATATTTTACCATAATTGCAGCGGTTTAAGAGGAAAGCTTAAAAATCTCTTTATTGACGCTAAATCTTGCAATTTCAATATTTTAACTCTTACGGAAACGTGGTTGAACGATTCTTTCAAAAATGAGGAAATACTTGACAGTAATTGGTCTGTATACAGAAAAGATCGTGATTATACAGCTACTGGTCAATCCAGGGGTGGGGGCGTTTTGATCGCCGTCAATAATCGGTTACCAAACCAATTGGTATCCACTTCAGTTTTTTCCACATTCGACCATCAATTTATCAAAATATACTCAGGTAGAATCTATACCTATGTGGGAGTGGTTTACTTCCCCCCTAATTCTGACGAATCCTCTTATAACGATTTCTTTACCATATGTAACGAAATATTTTCACAAATGCATGAGGATGATGAGATAGTTGTTCTAGGTGATTTTAATCGGTCGGCTTTATCGTTTATCAAAGATGAATGTGATAACCATCTTCTTCCAGTCAACTTCATGGAAGACATCGATTTTAATCTCGTTAGTACGTTCTATGGGAACGACTTGCAGCAGGTGGTACGTTACCCAAATGAAAGAGGTAATTGGTTGGACTTAGCTTTCTCAAATGCCTATGACAGCATACGGGTTCGACTTGCTACAGACGAAGAGAACCTTTTCAAAAATTCTATTCATCATAATGCAATTGTTCTCGAATTTCCTAATAACAAACTTAAGTTCTCTAAATCTTACAATAAAGAGATTGTATATGATTTTCTTAACGCCGACTACAACAGCATCAATTATGCTCTTAGCTTAATTAATTGGAACGATATGTTCCATCAGGACAATTTAGACAATATTATCTCCGATTTTTACTCTATTTTGTTCAGATTAATTGACGCCCATGTTCCAAGAATCCTTAAGAAGGATAGACTGGCGGAACCATGGTTAGACCGTAATTTAAGACAATTACGTAATCGGAGAAATAAATTATACAATAAAATTAAGCATTCTAGGGACAATAACTCACTTATTAATGAATATAATGAGTTGGCGAATGAATTCAAAAATAAATCCAATGAGGCATATGATATTTATATCCAAAATATAGGCAGCTCGATTTTGGGGAACCCGAAAAGATTTTTTGACTTTGTTAACTCCAAACGTAAATCGTCGGGATATCCGAGCTCCATGAGCAAGAACGGGTTAATATCATCTTCTAACTCTGAGATTTGCAATTTTTTTGCCGATAATTTTCAACAAACTTATAGATTAGATTCTCTTTCTAATTATGTCTATACCCCCACTAGTATAGATAACGGTCATCCCCTTTTTAAAGATGTTCATCTTTCAGTAGACAACGTACTTCAGGGTATTTGTGACTTAGAAACCAATAAAGGACCTGGACCGGACCTTATACCGCCTATACTTCTTCATAACTGTAGACACAATTTATCATATCCGCTTACTTTGATTTTTGACAAATCATTATCCTCTGGTTTTTTCCCGTCAATATGGAAAACTTCATACCTCATACCTATTCATAAAAAGGGGGATAAGACTGCGGTTGAAAACTATAGGGGAATTGCCATTCAATCTGTCATTCCTAAATTACTTGAGAGATTGGTTACGGGTATAATTGCACCCATTGTTAACCCATTACTAAATAATGAGCAACACGGCTTTAGGACTGGTCGCTCTGCGACCACCAATCTTTCAATTTTTACATCCGATATTCTTTCGTTTATGGAAAGAGGGTTTCAAGTGGATGCGATATATACAGACTTCAGCAAAGCTTTTGATCGCATTGATCACGTTGTCTTAGAGCATAAGCTAAGACAATTTGGTTTTAGGAACCCACTATTGGGATGGTTAAAATCTTACTTCACTGAAAGGACCCAATTTGTCAGGTTCCAGGGTGTTAAGTCGAAACCTATCCATGTCTACTCTGGAGTTCCCCAAGGAAGTCATTTAGGCCCTATTCTTTTCAATATCTTCATTTCTGACCTCTCTCAGTGTTTGGCGGGTGTTCCGCATCTGATTTATGCTGATGATCTGAAAATGTATCATATTGTAAGGGATATTTCTGACACTAATTATCTCCAATTAAAGTTAGAACATCTAAATTCTTGGTGCGAGACTAATAAATTAGAACTTAACGTTAAAAAATGTTATGTTATTAGTTTTTCACGTAAGCGTTCAAACCTCTTTCAAGAATATTCACTTCAAAACTCCATTTTAGAACGCGTTGACCATATTACTGATCTAGGTATTATTATGGACAGTAAACTCAATTTCAATTTTCATTATGATTCTATTGTTTCTAAAGCAAGCAAAATGCTAGGTCTCATTAAGAGGAGAGCCAGAGAATTCAACAATACTGAAGTAACTAAATCCCTCTATTGCTCCCTTATTCGTTCTGTTCTTGAATATGGCAGTATTATTTGGGATCCGGCATTTTCTGTACACAGAAATAAAATTGAGTCGGTTCAAAAACAATTTTTGTTATTTGCTTTGAGAGGCCAATATAACCCCAATGACTTCCAAAATATTCCTTCATATAAAATTAGACTTCAATCCCTGAATATGTTAAGTCTGGAGTCACGCCGGTCTTTGTTGTCTTCTTGTTTTACCTATGATGTCCTAACAGGAAAAACAGACGTGGACTTCATTAGAGACAAAATTATTATCAACAACGACGTCAGACCTACCAGACATACTAAATTCTTAAAAGAATATACGCATAGGACTGAATATGCTAAAAATGAACCAATAAATAGATGTTGTACTGTATTCAATCGTTTTAGTCATTTTTTTTCACCAGTAGTTACAAAATACACCTTCAAAAAAAAAATTCATAATTCACTACTGACCTAGTACAATATCATATGATAATTATACGTATGATCTAATTGTACAATTATTAAATCATATTAATATTAAATACCTACTCAGCATAAATGATAACATAATAAAATTCTTTCTTTTTATTTATTATTTTTTTTTAAATGTATCATATTACATTTGTGTCATAAATTCATTTAATGTTTTGTTAGTGTAATTCTATTTTGTTAATCTATAAGTATGTATAATGTATATTTTTGTCAATTATTGTAAACTATGTAAATTTTTGTAATTATGTAGCATCTTGCTTGGTGCAAATTAAATAAAATAAAATAAAAAAATAAAATAAAATATATAATACATAGATATACATTAAGTGACCTGTTCTCAATTCATTTACATAAATACCTACATTATTTATTTATATACATACTCATTCGCCTACTGCCAATAATGGGAGAAAATTGCTAACATGACAAACATTGTAGCTCTAAATGGTCGATTAAACTACATTCTTCTTCTTGGACTTAATAATTATCCCTACTGAAAATCTAAAAACTAATTTACAGAGAGAACGGATCAATATAAACATATTATTTAAAATCTGTCTAGCATTCTTGGTCCTCAAAATAACCTTCAAAATACAAAATTATGCATGCTCCATGTTATCTATTACAAATAATAAATACTTTAATACAAAAATGCAAATTATTTTCTATCTCTCAATAAATATAACTGTTCATTGGAGTATTTTTGAATAAATACAATATTATTGAATGGAATATTTGTAATACTCGTATAGGTACATACATGATTATTTTAATTGTTTTCTTTTTTCTATCAGTTTTTAGAAAAAAATCATATGTAACATTGCTGGAATATTTATTTTAGTACCTAATTTTAAATCTTAATAAAAATAAAATATATTAGCGATAATTATCATTTCTCTTTTTTATTAAATTTCAATGTTTGTTTTATAATCTAGAAATAATATATTTGTTTTATTATAAAGGAATAACCCCCCAAGCCACCGCAGCCATTTTTGACTTATTGTAGCCCCCCCACTCTCCCGTCTATAATATCCCCGTCCCTGGGCAGTGCCCCGTGAAGAAACACTTCCGCATAACGGCACCCTTTCGTGTCCCGCCAGTGACGGCCGCATTCCGCCGCGAGCAGGCAGGCAAGCCTGGCCCCCACGGCGGAAGAAGGCAGACCGCAGAAAGGCAGCCCCGGGTCCCCTCCGCGCCAGCTCATCGGCAACTTCGTTGCCCGCATGGCCACTATGGCCCGGCACCCAAATGAGCGTCACTCTGTTCTCCGATGCCAATTCCATAAGTGCAGCAAGGCAGCTCCAGACCAGCTTGGATGTAACCTGAGCTGAACGGAGCGCCAGCAGTGCAGCCCTGCTGTCTGAGAACACATAGATGGTGTGGTTTCTATACCCCCTTTCTAAATTGATTCTCAGACAGATCTCTATTGCATGTATTTCGGCCTGGAACACTGTGCAATACGGGTCAAGGGTTGCATATACACGCCTGTCCGGGCGGACACCATATACGCCCGAACCCACACCCGACTCCGTTATGGACCCGTCCGCATACCACACGCTCGAACCCGACCTAAGTACCGGACCATCCCGATCTAACGTCCATCGATCGGGAAGCAGAACCCTGTACCTGTGGTCGAAGTTGTACCGCGGCAGACAGGTATCCGACATGGTAATTCTTAGAATCGGATCGCTCTCAATGAAGTCTCTGTGAGTTCTGTGGGCCAACTTTAGTCCTGCCCCGTCCTCGCCAGAGAGAAGTCGGTAAGTCACTAGCCGAGCTTCCTTCAATATATGGAGGTGCAGTGGCGGCAATCCGATCATCACCTCCAATGCAGCGGTGGGAGCCCTCCGCATCGCCCCGGTCACTCCCAGGCAGGCCAGCCTCTGTAGTTTTTCCAGCTTGGCCCGCACACCCGCCTGCTGAGCCTTACGGTACCATACAATTGACGCATAGGTGACGATGGGCTTAGCAAGGGCCGTATATAGTGCTATTCTGGGACTAATTCCCCAGGTCCACCCGATGAAGCTCCTACACGTCCACAAGGCCGCCGTAGCTCTCCCGATAGCTCTATCTATATGGGTATTCCAAGAGAGACGATCATCCAGGGTTACCCCCAGATACCTTCCTCCCTAGAGTAACTAATACGTTCTCCAAACAGAATTGGACTGGTTAATCTATCCCTTCCGCGTCTGTTGAAGGCGACCAAAGTGCTCTTGCTTGGATTTATATTTAACTTAACGCCTTTGAACCACCTTTCCACAACACGTAAATTTTGCTGTAGAAGATCAGAAATAGTGCTCTCAAATTTTCCCCGCACGACGAAGGCCACATCGTGGGCGTATCCCCAAACACGCGCCCCGGAGCCCCTGAGAGCAGCGATTAGATCATCCACTACAATGGACCACAGGAGGTGCGAAAGATCCCCGCCCTGCGGACATCCTTTTGCATCGGAGATGAAGAGTATATCGTCAGCTATGGTGGACTTAATAATCCTATCCTGTAGCATCCGATTAACCCATCTGCTAGTCGTCGCATCAATCCCTCGTTTGTGCAACGACGCACAGATGACATGATATGGGGTGTTGTCAAAAGCTCCCTCTATATCAAGGAAGCAGCCAACTGCCACCTCCCGCACTTCCAGTGAGTTTTCAAGGACCCCCACCAGACTCTGCAGAGCGAGTACAGTAAACCTTCCCGACTGACAGGCGTATTGAGACTCATGCAAGGAATTGATTCCCAGTGCATCGTCCCGTATAAATCTATCAATCACTTTTTCCATTGCTTTCAATAGAAAAGAATTAAGGCTGATTGGACGGAAAGACCTTGAGTGGTTGCTTGGTCGCTTACCCGCCTTCGGAATATACGTCACTTTAGCTACCATCCATGCCTGAGGGATGTAACCCCACGCATAGCTGGCACGAAAAATTTCCAACAATGCTCTAGCGATATGTTGGAAACCCCTCTGCAAAAATGTAAGATATATCTCGTCATCACCTGGAGATTTGAAGGGCCTGAAAGAGAAAACAGCCCATCTAATCCGCTCATATTGCTCCGCCTCGGCTTAGCGCGGCAGCTCCCGTGATAGGCATTAGTAATAGCCACCGTCAGGGCCTCGCTGGCCAGTTCGATATCCATCCCCGTTCTGACAGAAGCAGGAATGGATTCAATCCCATCCATGAGGGGCGTTTCGAATTGACTCCAATCTGTGGATTGGGGCACCAGATATATTTCTTCTGCCAGGGCCCCGGAGACCATGATATCAAACCTAATCTGCCTATGATCGGACATGGATGTCTCATTTGAGACATGCCATCCACCAACCCTACTGCCGACAAATTCAGTGCAAAGGGTGATGTCAAGGACCTCTTCCCTGTCAATTAAATGTTGACAATATGACATTCTTTTTAATACATATATTTTAATATTGATACTTAAACTTAAAATTTAACTTGAAATTTTATTTTTTTTTTTCACAACCTTTGTCTTTTATGATTTCGATCAAAGCGACCTATTTAACTTTTATTTTTCTTCTATACAAAAAATTACCGTTAAGAATCCAGTTACCATATGTTTCAATAGAAAAATGCATTAGCCAATTTAAACATGTCACTTATCAATCGCACTGTTTTGTAGCGTTTTAAATTTGTGGCTACACTTGGTCGCTTAGGTAGTGCAAAAATTATGTTTTAGCTTCAACACGATTGAACGTCACTTGGAAGAAAAAAGTGGATAAGGAAATAAAGGGTTTATAGAGCCCCGACTCGCTTTCCGCAACGAAAGGATTGAAGGAAATGTAGCAATCATCATTTTTTTTTATTTTTAATATTATAGTCGTATTATTTAGAATAGTGTTTAAGTTGATAAGTTTTTAAGTATTAGAATGGTTTTTAAGTAGAAATTCGCTAGGTTCTAATTCGTTTTATTTTATAAGTAGGATCGGTTTGTTGAGTAGTGTTTTTTTTTTAATTCTTTGTTTGCGTTTCGTTAAATTTAAATTAATTTATTATTATTTCCTTTTATTGGAGTTGCCTTGCTCGCCCGGCAGTACCCATATTTTAGTTATCGCGCGTGTTAATGTTAAAACCGTCAGCACCAGGGTGCGTCTTAATAGTTCGTGCCGTGATCCATCTGCTCGGTGGTTCGTTTTCCTCTTTTAGTAATATAAGATCTCCCACCTTGACATTCTCTAGTTTTGTTTCCCATTTAGGTCGTTGTTGTAGTCGACAAAAGTACTCGTTGTTCCAACGACTCCAAAAATTTTGCACTAAGTTTTGCATTGGACTCCAAAGATCTAATCTACTGATATTAGTATCAAATACTGATGGTTCATGTGGTGACAATAACATGTCGCCAATCAAGAAGTGTGCTGGTGTTAGCGCATTCAAATTCTCTGGATCACTTGGTAGTTCACTTAAAGGGCGTTAATTCTAGCAGGCCTCAATCTGGTGAAGTACGCTGGTAAATTCTTTATAGGTTAATAACCTGTTTCCAAGTACCCTCTTAAAATGATACTTAGTGGAAATAAATGACGAGCATAACTCAATAATAATAATAACAACAAAAAACCATAACGATTAACACAAAAAAAGGAAAAACAACCAACCACCAGGCAATTAGATAATATAGATAATATAGATGAATAGAAACGAGAGAGAAAGACAAGAACAAGAAGAAACGAAAAAAATACTACAAAACTAAATTAACCAAAGTTTAGATTTAAGAGTACCCTTACTAATAGCAGGATCAAATACCAAAGAATTAGAATTAACAGAACGCAACATTCTAGTAACCGGCTCATTCCTACTATAATCAGTAGAGTGAGAGCGAACATTGTACAACTCTACAGACTTAAGATTTCTTACGTTATCCCTAATAGAAACCTGCCTCAACAAAGAAGAAGCCACAATAGCCTCTGACACGAGCTGATGGATAAGCACTATGTCAGCAACAACACTTCGTGCCCCCAAGGACTGCAAATCAATCAACATCAACCTAGCCTCATACGGCGGAAACCTAAAAGGATCAGACCAGCCCAAACTCCTCAAAGCAAAACGCAAGAATCTTCTGAACAGATTCAATTCGAGAAACATCCACAACACGAAAAGGTGCCCAAACCTGACAAGCATATTAGAGAATTGGCCTATTAAAGGACAGATACAAATGCTCGCAACATATGGATCAATAAACTCTCTAGCCCACCTCATTACGAAACCCAGCTTCGAGTTAGCCGTACCAAGGATCATATTCAAATGAGCACCAAAATCCAGCCTTCGATCAAGCATAACCCCAAGATCACAAAAGGTACTCACCCTCCACAATACCACCCCACCAAGGTAATAGTCATGGCGGACAATAGAAGACTCCCTCTTACGCGAGAAGCTCATGACACGACACTTACCTATGTTAAGTTCTAAGCCACTGACTCTACACCAGTCCCAAAGACTATCCAACCCGGCACAGTACACATCAGACAGAGCAGAACGGAAAGAAACCCGATAAAATCTGCAAGACAAATAGGAGTAGACCCACATCAAACTACAAAGAGAAAAACCCACGCCAACCAACTTTCTCAGTATAACCTGATGAGGAATAGTATCGAAGGTCTTACTAACATCTGTAAAAATAACTTTGACCTGACCACCCCATAACATTTATAGTATCCCTCTATAACATTAATAGTATCCGAGACAAACCCAACCAAATTTGTAACAACAGATCTGCCCCCCGATGCTGGACGGAGTGGATAAAAGGACTACAAAGAGTAGAAGTAATCAACCAAAATACTTTCAAAAAGCTTCGGAATAGCCGACATCTTAACAATAAGCCTATAATTACTAACCGAAGAACGTAAACCTTTCTTATGAACCGGAACAACGTACGACTCCTTCCAAGCCGAAGGAAAAACAGAAGACACCAATGATAGGTTAAATAAAGAAGTAAGAGGACCAACAAGGCTATCAGGGTATCTATACAACAGCACAACCGGGATCTCATTAGGACCAGGAGACCAGTCACCAGCCAACCTCTCCATGGCCCGCAGAACGCAATGAGGCCCCACATTAATACCATCAAGAGAATAAAATTATCAAGAGACACACCGACAATATTCATAAAGGCAGCAAAATCCAGCGATAGCCCACCCACACCATCAACTGGGGCAAAAACATTAGAAAAATGACAGGCAAATTTGAAATGACCGGAGGATGACCAGAAGAAAATTCAAACGAGGATGGATAACCATCAGACCAATTCTTAGAATTAATAAAATCAAAAAACTTTCGCGGAACGCCAAACATGCTACGCCGAAAGTCATTAAGACATGCACCATACAAATGACTACAAAGAGACCTAAAGTCATTATAGGCCGAGCAAAACCTCGCATAATCGGACGAAGACCTCGAAACCACAAAAGACCGCCAAGCACAATTCCTAACATTCCTAAGACGCCGCAATTCAGCTGCTTCTCACAATCCGCCGAAATGAGGAGAACCTGGAAGATTGAAGTTAAATTTTATTCCATTTTTGTGTTTCAATAGGATTTTATTTGCACCCATGAAATTAATAGCAAACACAATATAGTTCCTGACATAGTTCCTTCTTGCGCAAAATCTTTGGAACGCCGGGATAAATCCTTCAGCCGTCAAATCCGTCACCAGTTAAAAATGAATTGCTCTGACCAACAAATAGAGATATATATGCTTTGTGTTTTGATGGTTTCCTGGTTCTTGACGATTTTAATTCAAACCGCTCGCAGTAATCCACACCGTTGTGTGAAAATGGTCGACTCATTTTTACTCGTGAAGTTGGCAAATTGTCCATTAGCTGCTTCCGTGTGTCGAGTTTTTACCTAAAACATTTGATACATTTATCAACATAAAATCTTACTATATTTCGCACATTAATTATTCAATATTTTTCGCGCAATATTGTAATCATTAATTGAGAACCACAATGCAAAGTTTCTTGGTGAACTTTTGCAATTAATAAATTTGTAAAGTGATCTCGATCTGGTAATATGATGGCAAACTTTTTCTGATATGCCCAATCTGAATTAAACAATCTGCCTCCAACTCACAAAATGCCTTCAGGATCCAAAAATAGATTCAATTTTAAAATGGCACTCTTAGAATCCATTTCGAGTATTTTGGATAATTTTTCAATCTCGCAGTAGAAACGCCTTGCCTAAGCCCGCCGAATTAGGATGTTTTGCAGATAAAAATTTAGTGTTTTGAGTAGTCTTTTTCAAACTATTAATGAATCTGCAGCAATAAGCAGTAACACGAATCATGCGTATAAATGACGAGAAGTTTCTTCAAATTTATCATTTCTTAACTGCATGTGCGCCGCACATATTTTTCTCTTCTCGATCTCTGTGTTATAATTGACTTTTCGGGCTAATGTCTTTGAGATTGAGATAACCACTTGGGTCCTCGCCACCATAACTCATGTTTCTGTAATTCACTTGGATAAATGCCTGTAGACGCGCAGTCCGCAGGATTGAATTTTGTTGAAATGTGATTCCAAATTTTCTTGCCAAAAGTGATATGTATATGTGAGACTCTATTGGCTACAAATGTTCTCCAAGTTGATGGATGTTTTCGTAACGAGGCCAGAACAATCTCCAAGTCAATCCACGCAGAAAAGCACGCAGAATATACTTAACAACTTTTACTGCTAATGACGCGGCACAAAGTTCAAGCCTGGGTAAAGAGATTGGCTTTATAGGTGCAAATTTAGTTTTTGACATAATTAACGACACGTTTTTTTGACCATCGTTATCAATTATGCAAACATAAACAGCAGCAGGATACGCTTTTATGGATGCTTCCGAGGAGCCGTGGATCTCTATTGTTTGTATGTTTCACTTGAAATGAACCCATCTGTTAATTTTTATTTGTTCAACATCTTTTAATTTTTGCAGATAGACTAGCCATTCTTTGGTTTTCGTCAAGTTGTCAACCCAATTTTTCCCTGAGAGGCAGAAATTTTGCATTAATAGTTTTACCTTGATTACAATCCATTGTTCCTATATAATCTATGTTTCTTAAATATAGTTTCGTATCTTTTATGTCTTTTTCACATAGTATAATTTGATATTTAAGTCGATTAACTATTGTTTCTACAATTTGTATATGATCATTTAATTCCACCTCTTGAGAATTTACAGTCTGCCTTTCGACTTCGTTTTTACTAACTTCGTTGATGTTTATTTCAATATTTGAATAAATTAGATTAATTTCTTGAGTTTATGTGTTAATTCTACTAAAGAAGTCTTGTCCTTAATGTATTCTATTAAAAGTATATTCAACTAAAAAGAGTAACCATTGCTGTAAACAAGGGTTAATATCCTGACACATATGTATATCACATAGTTTTTAACCACTTTATTGGTTGATGATCTGTTTCTAAATCAAATTGTTTACTGTAATGTCAATAATATTTTGTTGTACACGCTATGGCCAAGAGTTCCTTTTCTATAGTGGAGTAATCTCTTTCATGAACGTTAAGAGTTCTGGTCGCAAAGAAAATTGTATGACCACCCTAAATCCGAACCGCCCCAAGCGCATAATTTCCAACATCTGTAACAAATTTAAAGTTTTTTTCAAAATTTTAATTAATTTCAAAATATTTAAGAATGGGGCACTATGTTACTAGTTCTTTTAATTTTTCAAAAGCGTAAATATAATCGGGATTATTAACATTTATTTTTGTTTTTTTCTTTAAATATTTGGTCATTACATGTAATTTTCTATAACACCCTGTTATGCCTAGAAAGGCTTTTATTTTTTTCTCAGTTAGGTCTAGAATTAATTGAATTTTCTTTGGATTAGGCTTAACTTCTGATGGTGTTAAAATGTGCCCTAGGTATTCTGTTTCCTTCATAAGAAAATTGCATTTGTCAATCTGTATTTTTAGGCCTGCTTTTCGTCGACAATCGAATATTTTTTTCATATTTGTTAGACGCTCTTCTAAACAAGTGCTAAAAATCAGAATGTCATCCATTACACAACACAAATTTTATTAATGTTGTTTTATTAATAATCTCTCAATATGGAATTCATTAATCTTTGAAATGTCGCCGGTGCGTTTTTCAATCCGAACGACTTTCTTTTATATTCAAAATGACTCAAAAGGGTCGGAAAAGCAGTTTTCTTTCTATCTTTATCGTTCATCATAATTTGGTGAAATCCCTTCGCAAGATCTAACGTTGTAAAGTATTGTGATCTATCAATATTTTGTATAGGAATATCAATATTTGGTATAGGAAATTTATCATTAATTGTTACCTCGTGGAATTTTCTATAGTGTAGGACTATGCGCCATTTTTTTTTTGCCCGAATTATCAATTTCCTTTGCAACTATCCAAAAAGGCGAGTTATACGGAGAATTAGTTTATCTTATTATGCCCTAAAGAAGCATACCTAGAATTTGTTACCTATATATTTTTGGCATTTTCTACCGTTGTATAAATTTGGTGTTTAATTTCGGGAGTAAAAGTCAACTTTTCATTTTCCACAAAACACAAATCCTTATAATTATATAAAAAAACTTTTTGTTGGTTTCTCTTCTTCATCATTTAAATTTGTTAAATTTAACTTGCTTAGAACTTCAATAGATTTTGAAGTGCAATTTCATCAAATTTTATAAAAAAATTTCCACGAGTTTGTTACTAACTATTAATTTTGGTCTAATCTCTTTGATTATTTACAAGCTTTTGATTTGGAACAATAGAGTACAAAGTACTCTGTATTTGCCTTGTCCTTGTCAGGACAAGGCCCACGTTCCATTTTTGTTTTTGAAATGAGCGAGATTTTTGATAGGTGGCTTCATTTTCTTTGTTGCCCTCCACAGTGAGTAATTGGTTTTCTCAAACGCCGTCAAATTTTGAACATAATTGGCAATCGAATCCTCCTTGTCTTTTCTAGTATAGTGTGTTAGTTCCTACGATTCACGATTATATCTGGTTTTATCAGTAGGATCACGCGTTTGCTGCCACCTCTTTCTCGCCCGCCTGCTTTGTCTTACTTTTGCTAGTATATGTGGATGGATAGTTAATACCTCCCCTTTAAGTAGCATTAATTTTCGAATTACTCCAAGTCTCATTTTAAACAATTTTAGTAAAGTTTTCGGCCTCCTCATCTATGGCTGGGTCGTTCTTATTCTTTTCCTTAGATCTATTTGTCGTTCAATCTCTAAATGAAATCTTGACCAATCTGTAGTCCCATTTGTCAGGTTAAGCTCTTTTCATTACAATATTTTCCTTAAGCTCAAGAATAACTACTGAATGATCGTAGTTAAGATCATAGTTATCATGTACTTCAATGAAATTTTTCGCAATCCATTTTGTTATGAAGAAATCTATTAAATCAGGACACTTATTAGCATCTGTTGGCCAATACTTTGACTTCGCAATAGAGCGAAAAAGCACCGCCTATTGCTGTCCTAAGTTCTATTCCTCTAGTTGAAGTATGCCTTGAACCCCAATCAGTGTGCTTGGCATTAAAGTCACCTCCAATATAAATCTATCGCCTAGGTCGGTCAGAACGTTTTGTTAGCCACTCTAAATTTTTGCTTAGTCGAAGTGATCTGATCCTCGGTTTGCATCTGGTGCAGATCGCAAATACACTATATTTTCTCTTATTATTATCGC